TTGTTTCTTTCGCAATGTATATCTATCATTATACAAATAAATAAAGAAATGATGTTTACCTACAAAAAAAAAAAAATAAAAATAAATTAATGAAAAGATCTTTGAGCTAAAATTTTTTAATTATTATAATTTATAGTAGCAATAATATAAATAACTAAAATTTTATTTTATTATTATTTATATTTGCATTTGATGCAATTAAGATTTTGATACGAGTTATTTTGAAAGAAAATTTGTTAAATATGCCATTGTCTAGATGATGATCCTTGATTTCTAGTCTAAACTAAAAACGAAACGATGGATGTTGTTATGTCGGATGGCGAACCCCAAAGTACTTCCACCCAAAAGACAAGCTCTATTGGTTCAAGCTTCGGAATGAATCCAGGTGTGTAAAGTTAGAATTCCGCGAAAACCAAAAATCTATTTAAGCTGACAAATTTGTTGCAATGAGTTCAAGTTACGGAGTGCACGTACGGGTCAACTTTCTGGCCTCAGATTTCGTGTTTCGTTCGTAGTGCAATGCAAACGGACATGCAGATCGAGAGGCCTTTGCACACGTTTTCACACGAGGAACTTTACAGGTTTCGTGTTGCACATTATTTGGAGTCCACTTTCTAGAGGTTATTTAACGTTCTTCCTTTCTGTCAACAGGAGCATATATTGGATGTGTTGGCAGGGTTTTCAGAAGAGACTTTATGCCGATTTGACATCAGTGATCGAAGAATCTCTAAACACACTTGAGAAGCAATTAGAAAATATTCAACAGATGGAATTATGGCTCGAAAAATTCAAACAGATTTGCGTCAATCATGCAAGGGCTACTGATATCTTGGGCAGCGTGTTTGCGTATCTGGTACTTGCGATGACAACATAATATTAATATACATGTTACCATGTATAAACACTCATTTTTATTTGATAGGATAAGACCTATATACAGTATGCACTTCACGAAAATCTTAGAGACATCTTGGTAGAACGATTCCAACATCTCATATTAGAAAAGTCAGAAATGCGCGCCATATTCGTGTTTAGTATGATACTCGATAGCCCAGAGGCCTTTAGTTTAGATCTTGTAGTTGGTACTGTGGAAGCACTGTACAAAATTAACCCTGGTAACTTGTTTTCTTTAAGATGTGGTTTCGTATATAGTGATCGTATGTTGATGGCATATTGTACGTGATTGTGCAGACAACATCTACCTGAATCCAACTTTGTTTCAAAATTCAATTAAGAACATGACTATACCTTGTAATCTTGACGATATTCGACATCGACACGTGACTTTGGAAGCAAAATACCAATTAGAAAGGTTAAAAAACGAGGGCTGGGAACCGGGATTTTCACAGTTAAAGAGGCCATCGGCGGTGATAGAGGAAGACGATACACAAGTGAAATCATCAAAACGTCAACATCATTCTTCATAAATCGGGTTAGACATTAGTTGAGCTAATATGCGAATTTGGTTGGGTCACAGAATTTCCAAAATCGTTCTTACCATTTTTTTCATATTTTACAGAATAAGAAACTTCAAAGGTTTAAACGGAACGAGACAATGTTAAACTTTTTTTTCATTCATGGACATTATACTCTTTTTTTCGTATAGTCATGTGAGTTCAATTAGGTGAAAAATTGTTGATCTTTTGGAAATTACATCAGAGGATGGTTTCATGTAATAAATGGGGGTCGTAAATTGTGTAGCTTTTAAATTTAGTACATTGTAAATAAATGTTACGAATGTGTTGACCACCTAATTGGACCACGCAGAAAACCACTTGCTATAGTCCATTCGCAAAAGTAATTGGTCTAGATGCCGTGGAGGACCGCCAAAACCTTCACCAGTCTTATTTACACCGGAGAGCGTTCTGAAAAGAAAAGCAACTTGCTCACGAAATTCTTTATCCAATTTAACTACCTGATCGAGTCTATCCTTGTCAGTCAATTTACCATCCCACCTTTCCAATAAACCGCAAACCTGATCACAGATGTTAAGAGATTTCTTGATTGCATCCGAACATATAGGAGATTCAAGAAGGCATCCGCGTAGAATATCCCCAAGGTAAGATGAATGACCGATCCGAATGTCCTCAAAATCTCGAAGTGTTTCTTTTTCGGTCAGATGAGAATCTTTTTCTTGATAAGTTGTCTTCTTGTGTGTGGACGCTGTCGGAGTGTCAGGCTCTGTAGTGGTGTTTGTTCGAAGCCGCTGATGATGCGCTGAAGAAGCATTGATTCGACAAACAAGCTTTTGAAAGTTTGCCTCAATAATATCCATCTGCATATGTCCCCACAGGCAATCCAAAAAAAACATCATTGAAGCTCGAACCCTCCATGGCATTAACCTTTGGGAGTTCATATCGTTTGACTTATTACCAATGACATCAGAGGTCGATTTTCTGGTCATCGCAAGATGCGCCCAAGCTCTCTGAAGTCGAATTTGCGTTCGTCGAAGGGAAATCAAAAATGAAAAGATATCACCATATTTATTCAGGTCCTCTGAAGTGACAAACAAATCTAGGGGCCATCCAATGTCATATTCCAGCCTGAGAGGAATATCAAGCATGTAGTTGTCAAATATGTTGGTTTTCGTTATGGGTGGCATTTCATCATCTTTATTTAAAATCTTGAATCTGAACTTTTCGAAGGTCAAATCACTTTCGGCTAGTGTGCCCACAGATGCACGCACCAAAAGCGAATTTAACTCCTGCTCCTTTATTTTCAGAACCTTTGAGGAGATATGCTTTGAAGCAGCAAGCTTTTCAAATTGGTCGACGAGTGAAATCGCGAAATCTCCTTGACCTAGCAAAAAATAATTTCTAAAGGCCTCCAGACACTCTATGATTTTATCACCGGTTAAAACTACTTGCCAAAGCCATTGTGCCACATTGTTTCGAATGATGTCCACCGTGTTTTCTAGCTCAATTTGACGAAATATCGGTCTTGACGAAAGTTCCAAAAGATGTTGAAGGTGTAGGGAGTTGAGTGAACGCGGTAAACAATAATTCTTTTCATGCGGTTTTGCAGCGTTTCTCACTGTCGCTATGGCCTTCCCAACGAATAAAATTGATTTGGCGATATCAGGTGCTATGTGATTTGGAACGAAACTCTCATCGAGAACGAAGCGTTTATGCCATCTGGATTGATTAAATTCTTCTACTTGAGTGTCGTGATCTCTTAATGTCACATCCTTTACAAAGAATTCACCAAAAGGATCCTGCAAATGACCATAAACCATCCACGAAGTGATGTGCTTATACATCACCGCGTGACAAGCATGAAGTAGTCTCAGCATAATGGCCCGAAGTTCAGGAACACCCGTGTTGCATTTGTCGACGATCAAATTGAGCAATCGACATCCGAAATATTTTTCGGGCTCCCGATTTATCTCAGTTGTCAATTGATGCAGATGTGGAAATATAATATAATACACCCTGAAGGCAGACACAATTTGTGATATCGGCACTACCCCGCCCATATCGTCTTCTTTGTTTAAAACTCGCGTCTCACACTCAATTACAGTTTTATGAAAGTCCTTGAGAACTTCATTTAACGCATTACATAGTGCTTGTAAGAACGAACCAGTAGGGGTTGACGTGACGTGTTTTGAATCAGCATAGTTTGCTTTTCTGCCGCGTTGAAAATCCAAGAAATTGACAATGGCCCGGTAATAATTTCCTAATACAACAAGTTGCTCCAGCGAACTTTTTTCCGCTTCGTGCAGGAAAGGGAAGTCGGATGGAATCTTGAAGGTTGAGGTATGTTCTGTTTGTGATGGAAAAGGCGTGAATAGATCACCCGGTAAACCGGCCAGAGCTAAAAGCAACTCGTGAAGCATTTTTTATCAGTCACTAAGACGAGGCGACAGGTTTTTGTAGTACATTGATTTGTAATCACGTGAATGAATAATTTTGTATGTTAACCCAGAGGTAACGACGTAACGTCGAGATGGACTAAAATTATAATATCCTGTATCATGGCACCCATTTTTAAAAAGAAACTCGTGAACAAATGTCATTGATTCCCATTTAAATCCTCAATCATCGATTTTAAACATTTTACGCGTATACAACATAATGGTAAATGTGAATTGTAAACTTTAATCTTGATTCTGTACGCGTGTAAAATCGTCCGGATAAGCCAAAATTAGAAAAATTCAATGATTGTTTCAATCGCTTGGATCCAAATAGTCTCACAAAGTTCCAATGGAATTATCATCATTAACGTCAACAACACGTTTAATGTATTTTATTCGGCAATTCGAAAAAAAAAAAAAAGCGGTAAAATTTTAAGAACAATGGCCACATGACGATCACATGTGACGTCCACCTTCTTAAAATCGGCAAATTTGTACACCAAAAATCAAGATTACAGATATAGTTGGTAAATATCAAAACAGAGTTACTGCATGGTTGATATAAACTATAAATAATACCTAGCGTGCAGTCATTCAATTTTGTTTTCATCGGCATCGGATTTGATCTCTTTACGACAGAAGAATTTTCGCTTTCGGGAAACTTTTGACTTACCAGAAAATTTGTCTTTCGGAATCTCTGTTGATAAGCAACTATCGGACAATATCTTATCCGTTCTTCACTCTAGTTAATATCCAAAATAATTACTAAACTTTTTGGTTCTTTTTATTAAACGATTGGTTTGGTTGCTTTCCGGTTACGATCCAAAAGTGTCCTACAGTGTAGAACGTTTCGCTGAACCCTATCCCGTCAACTTACCAGCTCACGACGACATGTCGTCAAAGGTACAAACAAGTGGTTTCAATGTTCTCAATACTAAATTTAGAGGTGCTTTTCTTATTGTCACTAATTCATTCGCGTAAAAATTTGTAAAACCTGGAATTAACGGTTTTCAAAAAAAATATAGTCGAGGCAAAAGCAGCCCAGTTTTAAAGGAGTATCCGCCTCCGATGGTATCAATTTACTTTCCCTTTCTTTTTGAATTGCATTACATTATCTCAATTCTTTTCATAAATTTAAGCGGAAGTTAAATACAAGAGGAAATATAAAGAACTCAAGAAAAAGATCCGAGACATGGAAGAGGTATTGGAATTGCTATAACAAGAAATTCGTTTGGCACATCTTATGTTCATCCTCAATCTGGTTGTTCAACTAGGAAAACGAGAAGTTGACCCTCAAATTAACCAAAGCAAAAAAGAATATACAACGATTGCGGATAGAGCGGAGGTAGGGGATTCCGCAATTTTTCATTTTGACACAAACTACTTTCCCTGTAATATTAAAATTTTCCTTTCTTTATTACTTCATGAAGTTTCCTATTTGACCGATTAGAACAATCACAACCCACGAATGAGTCTGAATCAGAGCAATCATCTTCGCCACAAAGAGCGATAGATTCTGAGGAGGAATTATCTTCGGTGGGTAGTGATGATAATGATGATAATGGCTCACAAACTACTTCGATGAAACAGTAATTCAGTAAGCAGCAATCGCGACTTGAAAATATTGTTCCGCCAAATTTCCTATAAAGTGAATATGGCGTGCTCATATTAGGAAATCGATTTTGCAATTATCTTCTGCTAATATTGATTAGAATCGTAACTGTGTTGTTCATATATGTATATTCAATTTTTTCGTTATTCAATGCATCTAACTCTTATCTCCCTTCCCATCATTCTATACCTTTGATGTATTTTATATACCTCAATTCACCTCCACACTTCCTTTTATTCTTAAAATTCCTTTCAATACCAATAAACAAAATGCGGATGAACAAAAATCTGAATAACTGCCGTATATTGGATATTTTATCAATAATGGCCAAAAAAAATTGATAAATGCTTATCATATTCAACGAATATAACATAAAAAATTACAAAATAATTGTAAAAATTTAAAATTTGACACTCAAAATTTAGTCACAGGAAGGGTTACTTGAAGGCCACGATTCAAGCAAACGTAGAAGACAAACCAGAGATCCTAACGCATCCAAAAGTTCAAAGAATACAAGAAGGGAAAACCAAAATAAAGAATCCACTCGTAAATTGGGTCAAGAGTGTGGGATACTATCCATGGAAGAAAAGGAGGTTTGTCGCTTTTTTCCTCATAAGTTGTTATTTCCGAGACTTCTGTCCGTTTTCAGTGTTTATTTACGTGAAAGTCTAATTTGTCTATTAAAACAGAGATATATTGATACATGCAAACAGGAAAAGCAACGCAATGAAAAAGAAAAGTCCGCATGTGTCAGCGCGTCTCTACCTGAGTCCATCTATCCAGATGATAACAACGGGGACGATATAAATTACCAACATAAGTGTGACGAAAAGTCGGATGGGAGTAATTCTTCTCCGCTATCTCAAATGGTGATAAAAACTGCTGCCACGAAGGTGGCTTCGAATCACTCAGATATTTACGATGAACAATACATGGATAATAAGGATGTTTGTTCAGATATCGATATCAAAGAGACGATGACAGGTGATAGAATTATGGATGACCTAGTTTCTGGAAGTGAAGAAGAGTTGATTGATGAATTAGCTTCGGATAGTGGTGGCGGTATCAACAACGGGCTACGACAACCTCATAACAATAATGAACATAAAGATGAGGTAAAAGAGAATTATCATAATGATGATGATGAAAAGGAAGTTTGAACCAAGATCATCGAGATATGCAAGAAATCGACGTCTGACCACCAGACATTAAATTAAACTATATTTAAATCATAATTAAAAAGTGGCAGGCTTTTTTTTTTTTTAATATAATAAAAAATTTTTATTGGATAAAATATCACCATTTACTTTTTAATGCATATAATCAAAAAAATATTCTATTATATAAATTTTACCAGATTTTTACTTAAACCAATAAAAGTACAGTAAATTTGGTAAAATATTGCAATAATACAGTATTTTTAAATTTAATATGGTCAGTTGATATTTTTATTTAAAATTACTGTAGAGGCATTTCATTCTTTTAGCATAAATCCTGTTCAACTTTATTAATAATCAAATAATATATTGATATAATCAATACCTTAATAATTCATTTTTTTTTTTTTTTTTTTTTTTTTTTTAATCCCGCAATCAGGTTGGTATTGTTTATTTATTTAATCATAAAGAACCATTACAAGTTGAGAACCTATGTAAAGTATAAATTTCCTCGACCCAACTC